AAGATGGCATAGCATTTGGTATGCTAGCACAAAACCCGCAACAGAACGCGTTACATAAATGACTTTGCACTTGAGGTGCAAACAGATATGACTGCACAAGTGGCTATGATCAGGGTGATCACATATTTACAAGCAAAATAAAAGAAGCACTATCATATTTAACAAGAAGATTCTTCAGATTTAACTGCTCTGCCAGTATATTTCATGAAGTACATGTTGTACCCACTCAAAAGCCCTACCATTTATAGCTGTAATATATAAAATTACAGTTACGGCTGCATCATGATGACATTTTCTTCAATAAAAAGGTAACCATATCAACAATTAAATCAAAGGGACAGGCTATTAAACATATCAGGTAATTTAGGTTACTGAGTTATAGAGGTTAGTCCAAATACTCCAAAATGCAAGTATGAACAAAAGGAAAAAAAATGTATCTTCAGGGTGGGCAAGCTTGCTGGAGCCCTGCATTCTCCAATGTTGTACACACACATATGTTCCAGGATTCCAGGAAGCATTTAGGCTATAAAGGAGGTAATATGTCTCCCCACACCTTGTTTTATTAAAAAACCTGAGATTTTAATGAAACCAGAAGTAAACTTTCAGTTGGGGGAGCAGGGGGAGGCTGCTGCAGATCACAGCAGTTCCCTGGGAAGGAAAACTGACTGCAGGACATGGTGAAGTTGATATTTTACAAACAATGTTACAGTTGCTCTCATACTACAAAATAATGATTAAGAATGGTGTGATTACTGAAGAATGAAACAGCTCAGTAGATCTCTGGCTGCAGAGCCAGAGGTTGGGAGTTTGATTTCCCCCCCACTGTGCCTCCCTGACAGGGGCTAGACTTGATGACCCCTAGGGTCCATTCCAGCTCTGCAATTCTAAGATAATAGCAGTAGAATGAATTTTGTTAGCTTTGTTTATTAAACACAATTCCTTTCTGTTTTTTAGGCAAGCTTTTATTAATTTTTATTTCACTGGTAATAAACCAGTATCATGCATATTTTGTGGAAACCAGTTTAGCCTTGCAACTTTCTTTAAACCTGAATAATAATGCTCTAGGAAATAGTTACACCTCGGAGCTACAATGTACAGTGGTAACTCGCAAGACAACCCCGCTAAACGACGAATCCGCGTAACAATGACTTTTTGCACTCGCTATAGCGATTTGCAAAACAGTCATTCCAATGGGAGATTTTCACTTGATGACGATTGGTCCGTACTTCGCGAACCGTTTGTTCGCAAGACAACAATTTTTACAGCTGATCGTTGGTTTCACAAAATGGCTGCACTGTGTTTTCCGGACCCATGCTTCACAGGACAGCATTTTTACAGCTGATCGGCGCTCGCAAAATGGCTTCCCTATGGGCGATCTTCGCTCGACGACGAGGTATTTTCCCCATTGGAACACATTAAACGGGTTTCAATGCATTCCAATGGGGAAACAGATTTCGCATGACGACAATTTCGCTAAACAGCGATTTCAATGGGATGGATTATCGTTGTCATGTGGGGCACCACTGTATTTACTATAGATGTTCAGAAAGCAATCTTAATTCCCAGCAGAGAGTGGTGAAGATGTTCTCATGGGAGACAGGAATTCTGCCAGCAGGACAACTCATCTTCTCCTAGGGATGGGCGTGTGCGCCCGTGTGTTTAGTTTGCTAGCCAAAAGGGCCCAACAATGTGCCCAGTAGGAACCAAAATTGAGCTCATTTTCTCAGTGTATTTCTTTATCAGTCCACTTGACTGCCTGAACTAGCCTGAACTAGTTAAGTTTTTTTCTGTTGATTTGAGAAGCGCCAGATCTGCAGCAATGTAACTTGTACACACATGATTGAACCTGTCTATCAGCTAACTCATCGCTAGCCCCAGGCTGTCCAAGTAATACCACAAAACCACAAATCAAATTATCTCTGGATGAAAAAGTTTTACAATTCATCTGATCTAGGAATAATTTTTCTCTGCTTTTTCCAGCCTCTATAACTTCACCATGGGAATAAGAGAGCCTGTAGTTCTCTGTCCTTTTGGCGTCACCGCTTTCCCTCTTTGACTTGCTTTGTATATAAGCAGCTGTGATACAAGGATATCTGCAAGCAGGATCTGAAGGCCTTAAGAATGGACCTCAACAGATGGGAAACCTGGACATCTGAGCATTTAGCCTGGAGGCAAGCGTTGCATCATGGCCTCTCCCATTTTGAAGAGACCCTTGTCCAGCAGGCCGAGGCAAAGAGGCAATCCCAAAAGCAGCAAAATCAGGGAGCTGGACAGAGGACAGACTGTATATGTCTTCAGTGTGGAAGGGATTGTCCCTCTTGAATCGGCCTTCTCAGCCACACTAGACGCTGTTCCAAATCCTCCATACAGAGCACGTTAACCATAGTCTCTCGAGACTGAAGGATGCCTACCACACATAAGCATGAAACACAGCCAGAAAAATTGGCTCACAATTACATTCTTAATATGATTTACTCAAAGTTTTTGAATCTTAACTTTAGAAAATATCCCTGTGACAAAACCTGACCCCACATTGTCAAACACTTTTCCTAATGCTGATCCTTCAGCAATGCTAGCAGGGTGGAAACAGGTGCTATTACATTAAAGAAATTCAGCCAGTTCTGAATATGGTAAAAATATTGTTAAAATGTACACAATATAAAAACCAGATCACTGTCTCACACATTAGTGACCCATTGCCTCATACAATATTCCTTGCTTTTTAAATATATTGTCTTCTAAAATTTCATGTCACAGTCCTAAACCCTGCTAACGCATTTTTCTCTGCTCCGAGACCATGGATGCAGAGCGAACAGACAATCTCAGGATTTGGGGGCACATCCATCCTCTTACCTACACAGAGGTTTTGTTTTTTTAAATCTATTAAATAAAGCAGGGAAGTACATACAGTACTTCAGTTTGAACTGAGTTGACTATTCTGCTTCAAAACAAGACATGTGACTTCTCTTAAAGCCAACATTACCTATTTATAACAAGCTTTAAATGTAAAATAAACTGCAAGACACCAAAAATACATTTGAGAGAAAATGCCACTGAAGACAATATTTATTCTTTCTACTTTCCATTAGAAAGTAGTGCTCACGATCACTTAAAGTCTTCCTAAAGTAAAAAATAGGTGCTACTGAATTTAATTATAAAACAGAATTCACATATGAGTAAAGATGTATAGCATTGTATTATATGTATCACTTAGAATAGGGGTTCCCAACTCATGGTCCATGGCCCGGTGACGGTCTGTGGCCTTTGCAGGACCAGGCCATGGAGACAAATCTCCCGCCCCCTGCATGTACTCTCCCCATACACACCCACATGCATGCATGGCCCACCCACCCGCATGCACGGGTGCCCTGCCCACACACATGTGCACGCGAGCACCCCACTCACCTGCGAGCATGCCCTGCCCACCCACGCATGCACACCATGTCCACCCACGAGAACAGGGTTGCCCTCCCTGTGCAGGACCCCACCCCCCAACTGGTCCACGGTTTGGAAAAAAGTTGGGGACTACTGACTTAGAACACAGAAAGTGAAAAGAAACGGTTGATTTAGATTAAGTCATGTACATGTTATTTTGGAAATGATGGCACGGTTTATTTTAAATTGTTAATCTGATTGCCCAGCTTTCAGCTCTATGACGTGTTGCAATCAAGTCATATGCTCCTACTTACTGTGTGAAATATAAGAAGATATACAAATATTGTTTGAACTCTACAGTTCACACATTACCTAAAACAGTGGTTCCCAACCAGTGTTCCTGGGCTGCAATACACAGAAGCTTTTACCATCAGCTATTCTGACCAGGTACAATCCAATAACATTTGAGTTATCCACGGTTGAAAACCACTGGCCGGAAAGTACCAGGCAGTATCAGAATTTTCTAGGGTACAGTATTCTGGTTTGTACACACAGTGGAGTTATTCCCTTAAGCACATAGATTTTTAGACAGTGGTGCCTCGCATAACGAGCGCACCGTTTAACGATGAATCCGCATAGCGATGCGGATTTTTCAATAGCTAATGCGATTGCATACCGATGTTTTATCGCATTGCGATGGGGGAACAGCTGTTCGGTGATTCCAAAATGGCCGCCGGAACACCCGAAGTGGCCGCCGGAACATGGGGAAACATCGCAGAACGGTGAGTTTTGGGCCCATTTGGACTTTTCCGTTCCGTTTAGTGATGTTCCCCCATAGCGAAGGTTAATCCGGAATGGATTAACCTCGCTATGCGGAGCACCACTGTATTTCTTTGCCAAGCCTGAGCAGGAGCCCAGTAGAATTGAACACTTGAAAATGTTAAAAGCAGCTCCCTAGACTTGTGGCTATAACTAATCCAACAAAAAGCCATTTTACACATACAATGAATACTAGATTTTATTGGCAGTACATGCAGGGCGGTAAGAAATGCTCTAAATATTGGCAGAAGGGGAGTGGGGGCACTTTAGTCCACATATTATCCTCTTGTTCAACATTTCCTTTTAGCAAGAAATAATGATATGCATGTACTTTGCACTTGAAATAGGACTGGAAGTGGCCATAAATAGTGGATTTTAAGGGCAGCCTTGGTGGCTAAACACATTATTCTATTGAACTGGAAGTCCATATTTTATCACATACTGAACACTGGACAGAATATGTCACAGATCTCACTGAGGGAAAACAGCATATGATAAGAGGGAGGCAGAAAAAATATGCTAACACGTAGGCCACTTTCCTAGACCTACTCACTGTTTGAGCAAGATGGATAAAGGGCTATGAAAGTTAATGGGACTCTTGTCCTTCCCCATCCCTTTATTCTCCCTTCATCTTTGTCTGTCTTCATGAATATTTATAAACACTTTATGTGAAGAAAAACCAGAGTATAAACAGCCTAAAGGGGTTGGAGTCAAGGAGACACAAACTTTTGTTACATCTTTTTTTTAAAAAAAAACCACCAGAATTAAAAACCTTTAAATAAAGAAATATGTGATAAAAGCCATACCTTGTCCGAGATGAGATGGTTTTTGAGAAGTTACATGACCACTTCTATCCAAAATGTATTGGGTGCTAAAATCATCATTAGCTGTCTTCGTTGTAATGTGGACCTAACATTAAAAAGTATGATGTTCAGTTGAAATTTCTGAAAATACTAAGAGCATTTTACTTCCTTCAGTCACTTCCTGGAGCTACTGTTAACTGCTTATCAAAGTGTCTGAATACCAGCAACTGGAGAGAGATAAAGTAATGGAAGAAGAATACTGTCCTCTCCTTCCTATGACCTTCTCATTAACATCTCATTGGCCATTACAAGAGGGATGCTGGACTACGTGGGCCACTTGCGTTGATTCAGCAGGTTTCTTCTTAGCTTCTTACTGATAGTTATATGGGGGATATCTAAGCAAGGAATATCCACTCAACAGTAAATGCTGTTGTGTGTAACCAGTCCTCTGGAATACCCTTCTTTACTGTAAATCTGCTGGCTCACTCAAATTACTAATTGCTCACTTAAATTACTGTTACCCTCTGATGTGTGGTGGATACCTACACAGGACAAGGCCTTTTCACAAGGCAAGAGTACACACCAAGTCCTAAGTACAGTGGTGCCCCGCATAGTGACGATAATCCGTTCTGAAAAAATCATCGCTATCCAGATTCGTCGCTATGCGGGACTAAAAACCCCATAGGAACGCATTAAAACACGTTTAATGTGTTCCTATTGGGGAAAAACTCACCGCTATGCGGAAATCCTCCATACGGCCGCCATTTTCGCCACCTGGTATGCGAGGGAAACCGTGCGAAAACGCTGCGGGTGGCCATTTTTCCCCCGGATGCCATTTTGGAACTGCCGATCAGCTGTTTTTAAAACATCGGAATGCGAAGATCGGTAAGCAAAACGCTTACTGATCATCGCAATGCGATTTTTGGCCATTGAGAACGTCGCAATGCGATCACTTTTGTGATCGCAAAAAACGCGTTGCTATGGGGATTCGTCGTTAAATAGGGCGCTCGCTATGTGGGGCACCACTGTAGATGGAATTCTCTTCTGAGGGAAGGTTTTTTTTTTAAAAAAAATTATTATTTGGATCCTGGAGGCAAGTCAAAGCCCTCCTGGCTCACAAGATCTTCAAAACAAGCCAATTTAATTAGCTACCACCTTAAAAGATTTTTCCTGTCCATTTTATTGCCTCTTGCGACTTTGCTGCTTATTTTTTATATCTCAAGATTAATATTTGATTTCCTCTTTTCATTTCAACATCATATTTTATTCTATTAACAACTTTGTGGGTCCCTCTGGGAAAAAGAGGCATACAGTATATAATTAAAAACCAAAAAAATCCAATTGAAATTGTGTATGTGACAAGATACCTGAACTAACACAATCCAGAATTTTAAGCTGTGATAACTCTGGGGAGGTCATTTATACTCAGCATGTTGCAGCTAGAAGACAGCCACTCCATTCCACGCTACCTTTGAGCAGCAGGTGGAGACCAGAACCATCTTCACAAATTCACCTGTGAGCAGAGCTAAATGTGAGGCAAGGAGTCGGACTGTGCTTCTTGGCCCCAAAGAACATCAAATGTCATTTCTTCCACCAGCCCTGCTATGTAAAACACAAATGTCTAGAAAGAATCCCAACCAGTGTACAGATGTACAGCCATATTCTTCTACAGCACCTCACATTTAGCTCTGTGTGAAGGTAAATGTGTGAAGATGGTTATAAGAAGAATAAGCAGCTTTCCTAAACATTGAAAGCATCTGCCCTGAGTGCACAAACATCAGGAGCACAGCTAAACCTCACTGACTGCTCCCCCTTTGTGTGGTTACTGCAGAGGGGAAGAACCCCGTATGCTGCTCTGAGTTCAGTGGAGGAAATGCTGGGTATAAATATAAGATGAATTTGTTTTTTAAAAAAGTCCTATTTGCTAATGGCTACCAGGCAGGGCTGCAAGCAAGTTCACCGATCCAGAAAGACATGGGATGCATTTAAGCAACTATGTTATCACTGCAGCTGTCAAAAGAAAAATCAGTGTTAATATTCCATGTAAATTAAAGAGCTAGCAGCAGAGCAGGATCTTTCATCATTAACCACAGCTCTTAAAAACACAGCAAGCTGCCCTATATTGGCTCAGATCCTGGGTCCCTCTGGGGCACAGGACTGTCAACTCTGACCGGCAGCTGCTCTCCACGATTTTAGCCACAATTCTTTCCCAGCTCTGGTTTGCTATCTAGGTACTAACAAGGACTGGTCCTATTTAGCTTCAGAACTCAGTTTTTATATATGAATTGACACCCTAATTTAAGGATTGCTTGCATTATATATCTTATGGAACACACTGGCACCACACAATAAGGTAATGTTTAAAATGGGTACGACACACTAAGAACTTATCCTGAGATATATGCAGTGGTGTGAGGGGCTTATTTTTTAGTGGGGGGGATGATTTTCCAAGAACATTTTGATTTCGAATGCTTTCCAAACCTTAAAGAGAGTGTGACCTGACTGTGCATGTTTTTAAAATTTATACTCAACAAAAAACAAACTTTTTAACATCCCAACAAGCTAAAACTATAAATATGTGAACTGAAATATTTAACAAGGAAAATATTAAGCACACAATGTAGCTTAAATATTGTACTGAACAAAAACCAAACCTTTACACAGAAACTATCAGAATAAAATTTACATCAGAAGAAAATCTAAAAAATGCTTCTAAAAAAATTGAAAATCATGTACTACTCTCGTACCATTTGCTTAAAATGTAAAACATTTAAAATAGCACTTAAAACTGTTGGCACTATAATTTTAACATGACCAGTCAATAGTGTGTACTGTATGTATTTTCATACATTTATTTACTTCTAACATAATTTAACTCTCTTCTTTCAAGTCACTGGGACACTTACAGTTTCACTGGCATTGTACAGAATCATTTGCATTGCTTAGTTCAATTTCAGAGTTGATACTGTTTAGGAGTATTTGACCTACATTCTTATTAATAATTTTAGAAACTTTTTTGCCTAGAAATTAAAAATCCAACAAACATCAGTGGATGCCTGCATTACTAAAGTTTTGCCTCCGTGCTTCTATAAAATTAGCAACAAATATTTTACAAACACATATAACCTTTTATTCTATTAGTCTTTTACCTCTGATATGGAACAAATGGAACCCAAGGCTTCACCACGAAAACCGTATGTTGTCAAGCGTTCAAGGTCCTCAGTAGAGCTTATTTTTGAAGTGTAGTGCTTCATTGCCATGACGGGGACATCAGCAGCCTTGATCCCGTCACCATTGTCTCGCACCTCAATCTTATCAAAACCATAGTTTTCCTATTTTGTTTTAATAAAAATGTATTATTACTAACTACAGAAATATATGAAACATCATACACAGAATGAGACATGGAACAATTTATTTGCTATAAACTATGGATAATTCAGAACAGATCCATTATTATACAAATTATGATGCACTGAAAGTTAACCGCTAAATGTCTCTGTAGGAATTCATAGAATCTGAAAAGGCAAAAACCAGGGTAGCTGTATGACTACTAAACTATTATAATCTAAAGAGTGCCTCACCAACAAAGGATGTTTTACTAAAATGAAAATACAATAACCCAAACAAGCATGCTACACTACCCGAGTATATCTGTGAAGATTCTCGTGTGCATATAGAAAATCCCTCACTCAACAGGGGTGGAGGCCTTAGTTTCCTATTTATCATGTTTCCCTTACATCCATCCCCAGAAAGATCAGGACCACATCCACCAGAAAGACCACTGTTAACTATGGTTAATGACCCATGACAATGGGTTGAAAAGGGCTGCAGAAGTGGGATTTTTCACTCACTTCCCTATCCTTTGTTTCCTGTTCAGACCAGGGGGAAGTGAAACCAAGGATATATCAGGGGTCTCCTACCAACTCTCCTTAGACTGAAGAAAATATTTGGATGAGTAGCAAAAACTAGTTTCGACCTATTAAGAAAGAAGTTCAGTTGCCAAGACTCAACTTCCAGATATATATGTATACAGTGGTGCCTCGCATTGCTACGTTAATTCGTAAAATCGCTGCAGAACGAAAACGTCGCAATGCGAAATAAAAAAGCCCATAGAAATGCATTAAAACCTGTTTAATGTGTTCCTATGGGCTTAAAACTCACTGTTCAGCGAAGATCCTCCATAGCGCAGCCATTTTCAGTGCCTCTTAAGCGAGGAATCCGTCCCAGAAAACAGGGGGTGGCCATTTTGTTTACCCGGGGGCCATTTTGAAACAGCCGATCAGCTGTTGGGAAATTGTCCCTTTGCGATGCTCGGTTCCCCAAGCAGAGAACCAATCATCGCAATGCAAAAAAACCCCATAGGAAACACTGAAAAGCGATCGCTTTTGCGATCGCAAAAAATCATAAAGCAATTTCATAAATGGAGCGATCACTATGCGAGGCACCACTGTAGTATGAAAAGGAAGGGAAAAACTTTTTATAGCACCCAAGCGGGATCAGGGCAAAGGTCTATCTAATCTAATATCCTGGGTATTTTAAACAATCCAACTTCTAATCGTAATTTTTAATTTGTTTCAACTTATTATATTTAACACTAAGAACAGTTTAGGATTCAAGTAACACACTGTGAGGTCACTTTGACCAACCCAGCAGGCTGTCTAGTTCTGTCCCACAAGCGATGGAGAGCCGGGGGGGGAGAGAGCAAGTCTCTTAGGCCCCTAACTAGCAGGGATGCACTGTTGCAGGTGGAGGAAGGGCCATCACCAGATGTAGGACAGCTGGAGGGGGGGCAGCGGCAGGAATAGGAGGACCGGGGTTGCAGAGTTCGTGTTCACCATCATCAAGCACATTGATTTTTATCCACCCTGCTTAGCAATACTGATATCTTCCAGAGCCCTCCAAGTATGTACCAAGTGGGTTCCCAAGGGGAAAAAAACAATGACTAGTCATATTGATTTTGGAGTCAGCTCCTTCTGCTGATGAATGTCTATATTCTGCCTGCCTTCCCTCTAAGAATGGTATAAAACAGGCCTGAAGAGATTTGGCAAATTATATAATAGAACGCACAAACTTCTAAACTTCCCATAGTCCGGTTGTTTATAATGGGTGGTTTTAATGCAATATTGGTCCCAAAATATACTTTTCATATACTATGGGGTGCAGTTGATAATGAGATTTTCATCTTCAGCTATGACACAATCTCTAAAGATCCCAAGGTGAATTTCGGTGGCATTTGTTAGACCCAAATGGTGAGCTGCCTTGCCCTTGTAATTTTAAATGGAAATCTTCTTCTCCTTTTTTTAACAAAAGTGAAGAATTCGACTAAGTATCTGGGCATGGAAGCAGCATGGTGGATTTTGTGTTTATTTCTAATTTCTTATCTAGATGGGTGTCTGAATTCTCTGTAGGCTATAAGTTGATAGTGACGATTTTCTCTCATCATCATTATCTATCAAATGCTGTCTACTTGGAACATTAACTCTCATTCAATATAAATTTCTACATCTCAAAACACAAGAGGCTACATTGGACTGAAAAAAAAACCCAACCTGGATTCTGGGATTTTCAAATATTGAGAATGCTCTCAAAGTGTTTAAAAAGAGCAGTCCTTGGAATGCCAGGATTCTCTCCCGGCAGCAGGTATACGCCTTGAGACAGGTAATCACCAGAATGCTCCATCTTTCAGATACTGGACTAAAGAGTTACAGCTGACACTTCTGGTAGGATATTTACACCTTCTACAGAAAGATGTCTGCACCAGTCTCTGGTTTAAAACCTTTCCCACTAAACTGGACTTATTAGGTCTAGCTATGGATTTTCTTTATGTCCATGAACTCAAGGCAGTTAAGTCTATTTGAGGAAAGTGGATCAGGACTATTGCCTTTCAGTATTAAATATCAAATGACCACAAATTCTGCTCACCCCGCTTTTTGACCTGCACTTTAAATTCCTCCAAAGTGCTGGATATTTGGAAAATCTGATCACCCCAAAACACTAGCAGATCTTTTCAAGAACTAATTCAATTCACTTTGATCTACAGTCTTAGATGGGCACTATTGTGGTGTAACATGTAAAAACTGACTATGCCCCTGTGATTACGAAGGAATTGAAACTCTAGATCATGGCCTTTTTATGTATGCAGTTTTTACCAGAATTAGCATATCAGACTCCTTAACCCTATAATAAGTGATTTCCCAATAGGACCTTGGATTGGTACTTAAAATATTTTCTAGGTGATGCAAACAAATTCAACACAGTGGACAAGTTTCTTCCTGCACGAAGAACATGCAAGATGATATTTGCTTCTTTTTTATAATGTTTATCTGTTTTTAAGTTATGTCCATGTAATTTATTTAATTGTTTTACATGGTTTTGAAATGTTTATATGAGTTTTGTAGACAGACAGACAGGAGCAGGAGGGGGAAAGGTAAAGACTTGGCACACTTCACAGAGAGTTTGTGGGCCAGACATGGTTCCCAAAAGCGACTGCTGAGAGACAAAGTCCTGTTACAGAAACTATTTCTTTATCCAGATGTAAAAATTCCATCTCAATAGATCAGAAAGACCTTTTACCTTGCACCTTTCCAACTGTCTTTTTTATTTATATCTATCACTCATTGTAAAACTGTAGTCTTAAAAAAAACACAGACTTGCCACAACATCACACAGTCTGAACTACCCTCTGCTGGCCAAAATAAACAGCTGCAACCTTCACCCTCAACTAAGCTTCCAACACCACTCGAATTCGTTTTTTGAAACTTTTGCAGTCAGTGCAAAACTGATAGGTGAGCCCAGGCAAAAGACTTCGGGACAAGATGCCATTCTTCCACCCTGTTTCGCTCAGATCTGCTTATCCTTTCATCCAGCAATTTAGCACATCTTCCTGTGAATCAGCCTCTCCCTGGGGCGAAGCAGGCTCGCAACATTACAAACTTATGTTTGAACTTTCTTGCCTTCCACCAATGGCATTTTTATATGAAAATAACTGGAAGGCTTTCAGCTCGACAAAGACAAAAAGGAGGAACAGACTAACTAACGAATGCTCTACTAAGCTTGTTTCTATTTTGCAAAATCTCTTGCTTCTACAAGTACTGGTAGTCAAGACAAAATCTGATAAGCAGCCTGTGCCAAGAGGCTCACATCCATCCTGTACCAAAATAGAATGTTCAACAAGTACGGAATCAAATCTCTCTCATCTTGGAACAGAGCTGGCCAAGTAGTGCAGAGAGTGAGAGCAAGTGAAGCTAGAGGTACATCAGCAAAAACCCCACCACTCCCAACAGTTCAACTATGGGTTCCCAAACTGTCGGCTACAACCTCCCCCCCAAGTGGTGGGCCACTGCAGTTCACAGAGGAGGGGGACACACCGTCCTCAACTTGCACACCCCTCCCAGGTTCCCCTTCCGCACGAACCCCTCCCCCACTTCTACCAACGCCAAGCCAAGATCTCTTCAACCCTTGCTGTGGGGCCCCTGGATGCCTGGAGCCCCCTGGCTGAGCCCCCTCCTCTGGAGGCACCAATGCCAGGACTAGCAGCTCCTCATCAGCTCTGGTAGCTGGTTGGCTGGGCGACCCAACTGCAGCCGTTCCAAGCCGGGCTGGCCACAAGGAGGGCTGAGAGGCAAGGAGGCAGCAGCAGATTGAAGGGGGACAAATGGTGGTAGAGGAGTAAAACGCTGCTGGTGCTAAAGCAGTTTCACCCCCACTCACCTTAGCTACTCACTGCCACCACCACCTTAGAGAGGATGGCTGAGCAAGAGGAGGCAGCAGAGAAGCCACCACTTGAAGGAAGGATGATGCAAATACAACCATTGCATTAAATATTAGGTTAGAATTGTATTCTGATTTTTATGTGTTTCCTTTACCTAATTAAAATGCCTTTTATGCAAATATGAAGGGGGTTGCAGGTTACTTGGCCATGAAAAAAAGGGGTGTGACTCGAAAAAGGTTAGAAAACACTGAATTAAACTATTGATAGAACAGGTTCTGCTCTCATTAAGTATATGTGGTTTAAAAAGTGTTCTTTCAGGATTTCATGTTTTCTTAAATATAAAGAAACATTAAATACTGTATTACAAACATTTCAATAAAATAGTTTCAACATAAAGCTTTGAGTGTGTTTGAAGATAACATTTAAAACAAACATGCTAAAGATCAGGTGACCCCTGCTACATTTGCATAAGCAGGCATTTAAATGGGGGTAATTAGAGCACTGGAAAATTTTCCAGATTTTCCCCCAGAAAATCCACATCACTATTCACAAGCCAGGTTGAAAATTCCATTTTATTTTCTGTATAATCTTTAGGAAATGTTAAGGAGAATTGCTAGCATTAATAGTCTATAATACTGAGATAAACTAAAAAAAACAAAAACAAAAAAACAAATTGTGGTCATTTCACATCCCCACAAAAACTGGAAAGAAAAACAAAACAAAACAAAAAAAACAAATTGTGCTCATTTCACATCCCCACAAAAACTGGAAACAAGACTCTGAAGCCACCAGCAAACACTGTATCTGTAAAGACTTTCAGGTTATAAACCCTTTAGAAATTCCCATTGGTTTGAATTACCTTGTACAAGGTAAACCAGATTGTCCACATTGTTCAGAAGGAACAAAAGCACATATAAAAAACTCCCTAAATCTGTTCCTTGTAGAAACCACATCTACTCACTCAGAATGGTTTTCCATGACACATTTTTAAACCACACAGAACCTTACATTATTTACCATAGTTCTAGTTTTAGAAGAGGTAGCTGTGCTAGTCTGTGCTAGCTTATCAGACAGAAACAAAAGAAAAAGAAAAAAGACGAAAATGTCCTCCTTTCTCATCTAGGCTTGGGTCCCGCAATGGTGGAAGATACATGTACAAAATTATGATCACTTCCCAAAATGGAATCAGTCCTCAATAGGAAGCTCTACAGTTATGTTTACATGTGTTTAAATCAAGAAGATACCCGTCAAGACCAACAGCTGTAAGCGAAAACAACACACAGAACTGCATGCATAAAACCAAGCCATGTTTTGTTGACATCTTATTTACTTAACTTGGGCAGATTTAAGAATGATTACACAGACTTAAAGTTCAAGATATGTGATATGTGGATAACACATTCAGAGTTAAATTGAGCTCATGAAGCACTGAGAGAGAGGTAGAGAACCAAGCCATGTTTTGTTGACATCTTATTAACTTGGGCAGATTTAAGAATGATTGCACAGACTTAAAGTTCAAGATATGTGGATAACACATTCAGAGTTAAATTGAGCTCATGAAGCACTGAGAGAGAGGTAGAGCAAACAATACAAGACTGAAGCCCAACATTGGCATCTTCATCTTACCCAGATAAATACTGTATTTGTGTACTACGATATCTGTACCCACATTTTCATCTCAAGTTTGGCTTAATGTGACTTACCAACTTAATATCAACAGTTGTTGCATTAGCATCCAAAGAATTCTCGACCAGTTCTTTAACCACACTGACAACTGATGTGATCACTTGTGAACTCGAAAGGAGTCGAACAGTGTCTGGTGGCAACTCCTTCATTTCTGGGCTTTCAGGATCACCTCTGAACAAAACAAAAACACAGAAAATTAAACATAATCAAATCTGTTTTTTTTAAAAACCTGTTTTTCTCTCTTAGTACAAACTAATATAGAAAACTGTTTCGCTGTGTTGTTTTTACTAGGTCAATACAGCGGTGCCTTGACTTACAAACTTAATCCGTATTGGAACAGTGGCCGTAAATCAAAACGTTCGTAAGTCAAAGCAGCATTCCCCATAGGAATGCACTGAAAACAGATTGATCCGTTCCGGATGTTTTTTGTCCTTATGTCAAGGCACAGTTCGTACGTCAAAGCATCAGTTCCCATAGGAACTACAGTGGGGTCTCTACTTAAGAACTTAATCCGTATTGGAAGGTGGTTCTCAAGTGGAAAAGTTCTTATGTAGAATCTGCATTTCCCATAGGAATGCATTGAAAACCATTTAATCCGTATCTGCTCTTTTCCATCCATAGAAACTAATGGGAAGCTGCTATTCCGCCTTCT